CTCACTTAGATTCGCTTAGTACTTATCGAACGATTTAGATTTGTTTTTCTTTAGTATGTATACATGTATAAATTTTTTTAGTGCATTCATTACTTACCTACACTATTATTATCACTTAGCTACATTTCTGCTATTTTGAAAATTGGTTATGTTTAAATTGATAAATAGTATAGGAAAGTAATAGTTTACTACATAAATATATGAATAAATCGGCATAATTTTCTTTATTAGTGAAACATCTCTCCAAAACATTACAATGTTTTACAAACTCGATCTAAAACTGCATTAGTATCAACAATACTCAAAACGAAAGAGATAAACATTTATGAAAATTAACGACACAAATCTAAAAACACATAAATCTTAGTTTATATTCGACCGCGAAATCTGCCCGGCATCCCAAATAAGTGTACGAAACGTAAACACAGAACAAAAAAATCGCATATTCATTTAGCGTGCATTACTTTGCAACATATCGAGTGAGCTAAACGAGTGGCAGAAGGCTTAGCTCAAACTGAACTTATCGCTTATTTGTGACGTCGAACGCCACACGCGGGGCGACCTTTAAATGGCCGGGGAACATTTCCTGACCGGTCTCTTTTAGCAGCGCTCTGTTTTCGTGTTCGAACCCATAGCCTTTATTATATTTGCCGTTGCCTCAACCGCGCGGGCGCATTGTATCTCACCGGGCTTTGGAGGACGCACGTTGGGATGTATAAGTCGAGAAGTTTTCTCGAGCTCTACAACGAATCGATCGGTGTCAATTTGACCGTAAGTAGAGTGTACTTAAAATAATATCATTGGATCGTACATTTCGATTGTCTACAATTATTCGCATCGTTTTAGCGCGAGTGTTGTGACTTCGATGTGAGATTGCATCGGAAGAATTACGTATTGTGCGCATCTTTCAACTAGTCCAGTAGTGGTTCTTTCACTTGCTGCAGCGTAGAAGTGGGGTCGTTCAGAATTTTACACGTCATCCGAAATAACGAGTGTTAATAACGCGTGTTTGTCCGCAAAGTCCGTTCCGCTGCTTGCTCGGCTCCATTATACACAAATTGCTGCATCAGATTCGTTGGAATCGTTTCATGAAAACGTGACCGTCGACGCCTGAAATTCGCGAACTATCACAATCATACAACAATTGTGCCTAAATGAGTTACATTTACGCATTAACGAATTCGCGAAAATTGTCGCTTCCAGTAGAACTGTGTGTATATACATTTTGATTTTAATAATTTCGGAAGTAGATCACGACGTGTGATTATGTTTATATATTTACTAATAATTTTAATACCCCGACGGGTATTATATTACCTGTATGCGTTTAACTATATCTTCCGCAACAATTTTATCTTTATTCGTATCTCAACGTAAAGTTAAATTATAAATAACCTAAATTGAATAATTGTTGCCTGGATATAGCTCGTAAAGGTTAAGACTACCATTCTTTAAGCAATAGTAACTTTTTAGATTTGTAGTTTTTCTTACTTCCGCTTCTATAAGGAAATCATTGTAACTTTTCCTCTATAGACTACGAATATAATTACCAATGAAGTACACTGAGAGTTTTTACTAAGTCACATAGAGGGTTTGTCGCTGTAAATGATTTTGTATAAGTAAACAAACAAGCGAGCCGTGATAGCTGTGTCCGGGCGCTCGCCTTTAATTCAATATACTCGAGCAACCTGAGTTCGATCCCCGGTGCCGACCCAATGAAGTTTTTAACTTTAAGTGCTGACTTATCACGTGCTCCGCGGTGAAGGAAAACATCGTGAGGAAACCTGCATATTTTAGAAATAATAACAAAAAATATTTCGAAGATATGTGAAGTCCGCCAATCCGCAGTGGTGGCCGCGTGGTGGACTATGCCCTGATACCCTCTGTATAGAGGAGGCCTTTGCCCAGCAGTGGGACACGTATATGCTGTTACTTTACTTTTTTAACAATCAGTAAAAGTCCATAGCACATATCGGATCTGAATCAGCGACTAGACCACGAGGCCACTACCACTAATGCCCGGTTCTTATATTCAACGAGCGGCCGTTAGTTACATACCTTCGTAACTTTCACACGTACGAATAGGAACGCTGGTAACGCAATTTCCGTAGGTAACTCAACCGCTCGTAAGGAAAACGCCTCGTTTTGTTAACATAGGGACCGGGCGGGCGTCCACGCCTTTTAACTACAAGTCGTTACGAAAGTTACGAAGCTATGTAACTAACGATCGTCCGTTGAATATAGGAACCGGGCATAAGTCAACACTAACGTATAATTAGTGCCATAATAGGTAGCTCTTATCTTTTAATTACTTATTTATATTTATATAATTATCGTATAAACTTTGAGAAAACGTAAAAAAGGAAATTACATAACAATCAAGTGTAAACAAGATAATTTTGTTATTGATATCAACGTTTTGGAATTTCAAGTATATTCAACTTTGTTTGTTATATTTTTTTACGGTAATTACTTAAATGAGAAGTATTAAATTGTATAAACTTCGCAGAAATTTTTAATGTAACCTTATAGCATTATTTAGATAGGAAAATTTATTGTATTTAGAAATTTAGTCGTAATCAGTTGATTTATATATTTAAGTACAGAGGAGTAAATTTCCACGCACTTACGTGTATCTTATTTGTATCGTTCTTTTGTGTCCTGTGCAGGTTTCTTCTGGACAGAGTACCTACTTACAGCTTCGTCTATAAGGCTCCAAAGGAAATATATTTGCTCATAGAATAAAAGGCTATTTGGGTCATAGAGCGTGAAGTGTAGCAGGTTTTGCGAATTTTATTACCTTAGCTGATCACACTATAAAATATTATTTAGAATTGTAAGCAATTATCTCTTACATAATAATTCGAGCCTAGTGTTTATGGTTAAGACACATACCTAGCATGTTGGTGAAGAAGCAAGGAGTGCTTCGATTTGTATATCTGGTAATAATTAAAGTATGAGCGCGTAAGACAATAATTCATATCACGAAAGTCAGTTGAAGAGTCCATAACAATCATATACTAAAGCGTACAGGCTGATTTATATTATACTGAGAAAGTACGGTAAAGTTCACGATAATGTAAATTAAAGAAGAGGCAAAGTTGAAACTATTCACTGCTCACCACCATATATGGCAAACGTGTTTATTGTTAATTTTTTTATTTATAAAAATATTCTTAAAAAGCTGTCATTTCACGGTCTAAATTAAAACTTTCCCTTGGCACACCCACGTGTTGGCGCGTTATCACCTCGGACTTATGTTCGGTGTCAATGGTCTACGTTTTGTAAACAATGATCCGAGACGTAGAAGACGAATTTAAAATTAGAAACGATCGCCCGCCAAATTTTCAACGTGCTCATTTCTAAAACAAGCCTATTTTAGCATGTAGCAATACAGAATAAACCGTCAAAGACCAGCGATAATAGTGAACTGATTTTTTACTGATAATTTGTTGTATTTACTCAATTACACATTACTAAATACAACAATTTTATTACTATTTTTAGAGATTTCTCGCGTAAAACGTGACGCGGTGTATCGCTTTGTATATACTCAAATAAATTTGTCTACAATTTCACTGCATTATAGAAAAACGCACAAATAAATAATAATTAAAGCAATAACGATACAAAATAAAAATAAATTTCTAGGGAACGTTGTTTAGAATTTCCAGGCCGTTATTTTGTTTACATTTTACTATAATATATCAGTTTTAAACACGGCGTGAGCATCAAAGATTGGCAACGAAATCGATTTTACCGCCTGCCACTGTAAATAGTGCGGGGCTCATTTTACATGTGACGCGAGTGTTTATCAACTTCTGTAAATATAGACGATATGCGAGGATGTTTATCAAATTTTATATACATATATATGTAGAACAAAGGTATGTTTATGTTTTAACATTTTGCAAAGATATGTACGCTAACAGTACATTGGGAATGATGAAGTTTCATACAGCTTTGGAGACGGAAACTTTTTTTCTTTTCCACACTTTCTTTTCTTCTGCCACTATCCACTGGGTGGGATTGGTGTAGCACGTGAATCATGTTGTTAATGGTGTTGGCTAAATAATTTCTTGTTTTTACGCGATTACACATTATAAATGAAACTAATTTTACGGATTTATCGCGTTTATTTTTAATTTTAATTCCCGACGTTTCGAACCCTTTACAGCGTTCATGGTCACGGGACAGACTGAGGTGTTAGACGTGTGATTGTCATAGTTCCTTGCAAAAGAACACCGATTCCTCAATCACAATCAGACGTCTCACACCTCAGTCTGTCCCGTGACCATGAACGCTGTAAAGGGTTCGAAACGTCGGGAATTAAAATTAAAAATAAACGCGATAAATCCTTAAAATTAGTTTCATTTATAGTGTTGGCTAAAGTTTGATCGCAACTAAAACAGTTATCTGAATACTTGTCCCGGGTGGGAATAGAGCCCATGACCTCAGACGCCGACGCGAATCTTCGCCAACAAGTCATCGGCCAAGAGTCAATGGAATATGGAAAGTGTCTTATCAATTGCTACGTCTAGTACGTCAACATTATTTTAGTAGTGTTTAAAATTGGCCGTTATTGGATACACACGATCGCGTCGAATTCAATTGAACAGTAGTTTCAAAGCGACGACACAGTTTTTACCACTCATTGAACAAAAGGTTGGCGCGTTGTGTATCTTTCTCTACAGTGTTTTTGTGCGAGAAGGTGGCGAACGCGATGGCGTTTTTTTATGGGAAAAAGCAGCAAACGAGCAGGAGGCTCGCCTGATGTTAAGTGATGACCGCTGCCTATTGACATTTGCAACAACTGTAACGTTGCAGATTCATTGCCACCCTGTAATAAAGCGGGCCTCCTGCTCCTTTACCGCTACCTCACTCAGCGGACGAAACGCAGGAGTATAACACTTCCTACCCTACTACCTACCCCGACGGACCAGCCCTACCGCAGTTGAGTCCTCATCAGACGTTGTCTAACTGGGTCTTTGATTACACAGGTGCTGGCGGCGTTGGCCGCGCAATCCATCAACATATCGGTGGGCTTCTGCCAGGGCTTCTCGGCGGTGCTGCTGCCCCAGTACACCCACGAGCACCCGAACGTCACTTACGAGCAGAGCTCATGGATCGGTGAGTGATATATCGCTATATAGTACAAAACAAAGTCGTCCCGCTTTCTGTCTGCTCCTATGTGTGCTTAGATCTTTAAAACTACACAACGGATCTTGATGCGGTTTTAACTAGATAGGGTGATTCAAGAGGAAGGTTTATATGTATAATACATTGCACCCGGGCGAAGCCGGAGGTTTGGTTCATATATATAACTGTCACCGCTTGTAACTCTTCGCTGTTGCAATGTAATAGGCAGGTCCGTCCGGGTAAGTATCACGACCTCATAGAAGACCGGCGTGAAGTAAAACGTAACACGCTTTGTAACATAAAATTTCTAAGTCTAAATTATAAGCAATAGAAATAAAAATTAATACAAGTCAAAGTCAAAATTTCTATATTCATTGTTCTTATTAGTAATTTTAAACTCTTATTGAAAGTCAAAAAACTACCACCAGTTCACTAAACTAGACCTGTTCAGAGAAGGACCGGCTAGAAACTCCATTATTATTTAATTAGGTTTATAAGTACACAAAAGTATTCAGGTATAAAATTAGCGGCAGACAGGGGACTTGCAAGTGCAGAGCAAGAGTCGTTCCCACATAATCTCATATAAGAGTACGTAATTATATTACACAAGGTGGAGAATTAAAAAATCATTTTGTTTATATAATTATGTTGTTGTTTACTTTAGTACATACATACATAAACATTCACAACTGTTACGAATATTACAGATTACGAACTTCACTACTTCGACTATTTACGTATTCTATACTTTTTACTTTATAAACAAAACACATTTCTTACAAATATGTTTTTGTAATAATAGTTACATGTTTATTTTGACATATTTAATCACTGCACAAAACTTTGGCTCGGTAATACCGCAAAGTACACAGAATTCTAAATTTAAATGTACAATCGTAAATATTTAATTAATTTATCATAATATATAACGATATTGTAAAACTGACGCTATCTCCGAGCGAGATTTGTGTTGTTATTTACATAGCGTTGAAACTAAGTTGAAAAATACGAAACGCTTTGGTTGTACGAATTTATTTTTGAAACAGAGCACAGATGAGAAAGACCCACGTAACAGCGTGCGTAATACTGATTGAATGGCGAGAGTTTATTATTAATTCTTTATCTAACTTACTGCCGGCTGAATAATAAAAGTAACTGTTTAATAAGCCAAATTAGCATTCATTAGAATTTATGGCAAAAATAACTTTTGCCGGAACAAGTGTGTATACGGGGTTTAAAAAAAACGCAATAAATTTTCCCCGTAACTACATTTATTGTTTGAATGGCATAATATTTTTTTACGTGGTTCTGTTTAGAGGTTTCCGTTTAAATAAGTAACTACAATCTCGAATGTTCCGGAGTTAATATAAAATAAAACTGCAAAAACATTTGCGAGGTGCACGGTAATGAACATAAGTTTGTTAACAAACAAAAATGCGTACACAGATAAAGAGATAAGAGGTTTAACTTTAAATATATGATGTACATTCCACAGACTAAAAATTATATAGTTGTCATAATACCGATAGACATTATGACGTGACCTAAACGTGATAAGTGATGAGATTATCGTGTTAAATGAAAAAGAGAAATTATATTATATTTTATACTGTTTCCTCTGATCGTGTCTGACGTATAGTCAACATTATTATTATTTATTTATTTATTTATAGTTTACTGTTCCCCAAAAATCAATATATAAATATAAAAAGCAAATTACAAATGAATATAAAAGGGAGTACAAAAGGCGGTCTTATCGCTCATAAAGCAATTTCTTCCAGACAACCATTGCGAAAAGAATATTTGCTAATGAGACATGAAGAAGAGAGCGGAGGGAGGTGCACATGAATCACTTATAAACATCGGATGAAGGCATTCATCAATGAGATAGTCAAAGATTTTCAGGAAAAATAGGAAAGGAAAAAGAATGAGTTCACAGTTCCAAGTAATGAGCTTTTAATAGGTTTCTAAAAGAAAGAAGTGACTTTGCTTAGACTTAATTATACATACAGCCGTAGGCGATAAATTTCTGATGTATACCATATCGCTCTGTTAGCCACGATAATGTTGGGTGATAAAACAAATTTAAATAGAGTGATTGATGTATTTGAATTGTAAATGCATTGCCCTTAAGATAACCGGAGCAATTAAATTGAAACTCGTTATCTATTTTTAACCGACTTCAAATAAGGAGGAGGTTTCTCAATTCGACCGTATATATTTATTTATTTTTTTATGTTTGTTCGGGGAGAACTTCGTCATTTATGAACCGATTTTGATGATTCTTTTTTTGTTGGAAAGGAGATATCCCAAGGGTGGTACTATCAGATCTGATGATGGCATCTAAGAGAAATCGAGGGCAATCTCAAATGTTAAAGGCGTTGACAATGTTTTTATTAGTTTCCTGTTTGAAGTAGGTTTTTTTTTGTTGAAAATTATTGACATAATTATGTAGAAAAATCTATTTTTACAGGATATCAGTGTGGACAGGTGTTTCAAATAGTACATATCAGTTGACTTTTAATCTTTTTCGTAAATGAGTATATGATTTGGTTTTCGAAAGCGTAAAAGCACTCGGTTTGTTTGTACTTGCCGACTTTAAAAAATATAAGAGGATATTATGCATTTTATGTTAAAATCTGTATTTAACGCAATACATAATTATATTAGGCAGACAACTTTAAATAGATATAACTGTTTATTAATAGCCTATTTGAATTTGGTATGTTTATTTGTGTAAGAACTTTAATTATTTTATAAACATAATATATAATTAGCATAGCGTCAGATGAACTTTTTTGAGAATAAAAAAATCGTTAAATGTTGACATAGATTTTGAAACTATAAAGTAATTTGTTGGAGGATGTCTCAATTAGCGTTGTGGATGTGACTCTCGTGACAAATGGCGTGGGTTCGATCCATAATCCATACAATATTGTAAATGCAAAAGTAACTCTGTCTGTCTCGCTTTCACGCCAAAACTACTGAACCGATTTAAATGAAATTTGGTACACATATAGTCTAGAGCCTGAGAAAGGACGTATTTTTTGATTGGAAAAAAGTGTTTTAAAGGGTTGAAATGTTAAAGAGAGATATTTATTTAAGGGCTTCAACGCGAGCGAAGCCGCGGGCGACAATCTAGTACGTGATAAATATTATGTGATGAACATATTGTTTTTCTAGTGTATGGGTATATATATATCTATAACAGATACTTAAAGTACAGTAAAGTAATGTCTATATAGTTAAGTGCCATTGCAGCGCAAAGGCCTCCTCTGAACAGAGGTAATAAGGGCATAGACCACTATGTGGATAGGCGGACATAATGTAATAGATATTTATTTCCAAAAAAAGGAGGTTTAAGTATGTACTCGTGTGTTTATCAGTTACCTGATATCCATAGCACAAGCTTTGCTTAGTTTGGGACTAGAATGGCGCATAACGATTGTGTTTGTTTGTTCGCAGCCAGCCTAGGCGTCATCTCAAACCCCGTCGGGGCCCTGCTGGGCGGGATGATGGTGGACGCGGTGGGCAGGCGGCTGATGCTGCAGTCCATCGTGCTGCCGAACCTCATAGGGTGGTTGGTCATCGCATTCTCGGAGACCTACGTCTTCTTATGCGTCGGCCGCTTCATCACCGGCTTCACAATCGGTGAGGCTCTCGCACCAACTTGTCTACGAACGAATCACCGCTCACAGACCTTCCATTTATTAGTTATCATCAGAAACCTGGATATTGTTCACGCGGTACGGCTTGTGACGGGCTCTGTCCTCTTTCAGGGATGTCGACCGTTTCCTACATATACGTCGCTGAGATAACCACGCCGGAGAAGCGGGGCGTGCTGAGCGCCCTCGGCCCAGGTCTCGTCTCCACCGGGATCTTCGTCGTGTACGCGCTGGGGGCGTTCGTCCACTGGCGGAAGGTGGCGGCCATATGCGCCGGCTTCTCATTGCTTACTCCGTTCCTGATGCACTTCGTGCCGGAGTCGCCGTTGTGGCTCGCGTCCAAGGGCCAGATGAAGGAGGCGTACAACGCGCTGTTCTGGCTGCGGCAGAACAACAGCGCGGCCCAACAGGAGCTCGTGGACTTCACGAAGGACAGGCGCGGCGAGAGCATGAGCTTCGCGCAGAAGCTGGCGTTATTCAAGCGTCGGAGGGTGCTCAAGCCGTTCGCTCTGCTCATGCTGTTCTTCGCGTTCCAAGAGATGTCGGGCATCTACGTGATCCTGTACTACGCGGTGGACTTCTTCAAGTCGGTGGGCACCAGCGTCAACGAGTTCACGGCGTCGATCATCGTGGGCGGCGTGCGCGTGCTGATGGGCGGCGTGGGCGCGGCGCTGATTAGCCGCTTCCGGAGACGCACCCTGGCCACCGCCTCGGGGCTGCTGCTGGGCGGGGCGATGCTCGGCGCCGCGTTGAGCCACGACGCGTTACTGCGGCTGGTTTTCGTTTTACTTCACGTGTGCTTCAGCATGGTGGGCTTCCTGCAGCTGCCGTGGATAATGTGCGGCGAGCTGTTCCCGCAGGACGTTCGCGGCGTCCTCTCCGGGGCCACCTCCTGCTGCGCCTATCTGCTGATCTTCCTCAACATCAAGACCTACCCCCGCCTCCAGGCGTGCCTCGGGGCGGACAACACGCTGCTGTTGTTCGCGGTGTGCGCCCTGCTCGGTGCGCTGTATTGCCTACTCTTTCTGCCCGAGACCAAGGGCAAGACCTTGGCGGAGATCATGCGCCAGTTCGACTCGGAGAAGGCGCCCCCAGACCCTGAGGCGGCTCCCACTCCATCTGCTGCCACCCCCACTCCTGTCATCCCCCCTGCTTCCTCTACAACTCCCCCCTAGTGCGCGCACTTTGTAATGTCTTTCGCGATCAGTATTATAGACGTTTCGAGTGAATATAAGTGAATTAATTAGCTCTAGTGATACATTTAAGTAAACATTCCGCAGTCCTAAGTATACGAGGTGACGTTGTTACGAATTAAACTATTATTACAATAATTATTATGTTTTTCTTCGTCTTTAGACGTAATATTAAGTACAAATAGTGATTCTTTCGTCGAATATTTATTAAGATATCTATTGTGGGAAAAGTTAGCGTCGTTGTTAGTAAAGACGCTATCGCGTGCCTTAATGCTATTCATACTTACCGTGTTATATTTAGTTTTTTTGTTAATCGTGAGTTATTGCGATGAGAAATGCTGTGATGAAGACGAATTATATTAAGATGCAGTTATGTGTGAATAAAAAGCGTTGTTTTTACATGTTCGTTTTATTATTTTTTTATAGATCACGTTTTTTTTGGGAAGGAAGTTCGACATAAACTTGTTTATTAATAAATTTAATACCAGTTACGAGTAAAATAAAGAATTTCCGAAGGAGATCTTTGCCTATATTCAAACGAATTCCTTTTATTTCTTTTACGTTTTGTAAAAAATTTTTTTTATGGTCCAATTAAATGTTAAAAAAATGTATAGAGAGTGAGATATTTTAAGCCAGTTTTGATTTTGTTAATTAAATTATTCGTAAACTCGTTCAAGTCAAAGTGGAGTTGCATGAACGATTTCTCAAAAAATTAATGAATTAATTAATTACAACTAATGAATGACGAATTAATATAATTATTAATATAATAACGAATTAATTACAATTAATGAATTAATGAAAAATCAATAAAAGTAACTTTTATTACCAAATTATTTGATGACGTATCCTCAATAAATACAAGTCCACACTGCGTAAATAAATTGCTCAAAACGACAAGCTAGGAGCCAAGGTGGAACCTTATAGATCCTCTATGTTGCCACAACTTTGTAAACATCACGGCAACCGGTAGTTGAAATCGCATACAATTGTTAAACGAGAATAAACCTATGCCATGCTGCGCCTTAATTGGGTGGAAAGAGAGGTAAGAAACTTCAAACTGTACTATGAATTTAGCAAGAGGCTGTAAATCCTTACTAATAATATAAACGCGAAAGTTTGTATGTATGGATGGATGTTTGTTACTCTTTCACGCAAATACCATTGATGAAACTTTACAATAATATAGGTTATACATCAGAATAAGACATAGGCTATAATTTATATACAAGTTTTATGTATATCTGTCTTTCTGTCTGAATGTTACGCCTTCAGCCTATTCTACGCAGACGTAGTCGCGGGCAGCAGCTAGTTTGTTATAAATGTGAGGTGTCAATACTATTTACCTACGTCTTCTAGTATGTCTGAACTCACTACCAACGACTATTGGCCCTAGCAATGCCTTTTTATTTAGGTAAAAATACAAGCAACACTCTTCGCTGTTGCATGAATGGGCAGACCCGTCCGGGAAAGTACCACGAACTAACAGAACATCGCCATGTAGTGTAATTATAAATGAATAATAAATAAATAAATATTTTAAGACACATGTTTTACACAACGTTCTTTAGGCCCAAACTAAGCAACGCTAGTACTATGGGTACTAGAAAACTGATAGATATACAATAAACATACTTTTCTTTTGTAAATAAATACACATTATACATCTATAAACACCCAGACACTAGAAAAACACTATGCTAAACATACAATATTTTTCTAGTAGTGGGGATCGAACCCACACCCTCTGGCGCAGAAGGCAGGTACACTACCGACTAGGCCATTCGGGTCGTCAAAATTGTTACACTTCTGCGTTTCCTCTGGTGAGTGAGGTGACCGGAGCCCACTTTATTGAAAGCTTGCAATGGATCTGCAACCCTAAAGGGGTTGCAAATGTCCATGTGTTGTGGTTATCGTTTAACAGCGGGTGAATCACCAGCTCGTTTGTCACTTTCTAATAAAAAAAATACTTATACCACGCTACGCACTAATAAACTTCAAACCGGACAAATAAAAAAGAATTAAACCGGACGCAGGTATCTGTTAGAAATATGGGAAGTCAATACGCTTTTCAATTTCTAGTGTTCACCCGAACTCGCACTACTTCAAGCTGTAAGCCGAAAACTCCAGCTATTGGACTAGTAATACCTTTTAAAATATAGTTAAAATAGACCAACAGCCTTAGCGTTTGCACGAATGGGCAGGTCCGTCCGGATAAGTATCGCGACCTATAAGATGGTAGATAAGTATGGTAGAACGGCGTGAATAGGAAGTATTATACTTTCGTGTTTCGTCTGGTGAGTGAGGTAACCGGGGCCAAAAGGGGGTAAAATGAGTTAACTTTATGGGCGTCACAAATGTCAATGGGCGGCGATAATCACTTAACATCAGGTGAACCGCCAGCTCGTCTGAATTCAAGACGAAGTTAGGTAAGAATAATAAACTATCGCAATGAACGCACGGCAAAAAGCATCGGAAGGTCAGCAACGGATCCCACAAGCTACTGGTATTTTTGTTATTAATAATCAATGGCAAATATAATGAGCATCACTAATTAAACTTAAGGAAGTCAAGTTGCGATCGTTTCTTATCGTACTACACAATACACCAGAAGTTTTGCTGACGGAAGCTACTGTTTTTTTTTAAAGTTGTCAGACGACCAGGCAGTTGCCCATGGAGATGTAAAACATCTGGGGGGCTTGCAGATGAACGCACGTCAACTTTACAGAAGTATGCCCCGGTTACCTCACCCGCCAGACGAAACGCGAATAGTTTAATACTCCACACCACGCCGGTGTCCCGTGAGGCGGCGGTACTTCCCCGGGCGAGCTTGCCCATTCTTGCAACAGAAGAAGCTGCTGTCTGCATACCACAGTCGGAATCTAGGCTCTGAGTGAAATAAGTACAGTTGGCCCTTATCTAATTATGTGTTTTCTTCTTGTTTTATTCAGTCTGTTTGTATGCAAATCTACTAACGGCTTGATTGATTAATTGAAAAATTCTTTATTGGACTAAAAGTTTGCACTAAGGCAAACTTAATGTTAAATAGCATTTTCCTCCAGTTAACCTTTGGCAGTTGAGAGCAAGTTACATGTGGTCCGCGGGAATAATTTTTATTTTTTTTGGAATAATTTCGCTGTTGTAACATTTATAGATATTAAATTGAGAAATAGAGAGACGGAAAGATTTGGTTGTTTGTATGTGTGATTATTGATTGCAACCACTGAATTGATTCTATCTGGTCTATCTCTCTAACTTGTTTAGGCTCAAACGTGGTTTACATAATTAAGTTATCGTTTTATTACTCACGGCTTGATTGCTGTTAATACGTGACATTAACCCATTCGAGGCTAAAATGCTAATATTCATAAAATTAAAAAATCTAACTAGCAAATTATACATTTTCATAAATGCTTCAGTAGTTAAATCGTCCTGTAGTTATTAATTTCAAAAAATATATATGATTTACGTTGTCCTGTACACTCGACTTAAATCCGACAACTTATAAATAAAAAAAAAATGTAGTGGACCGACGAAGTCATACAAAAACAATCATTTAAATCGGTCCAACCGTTTAGAAGGTGTTCAGTGACATTCAAACGCATAGACGAATTTTATACTCGTATATATATATATATATATATATATATATATATATATATAAGAATTATATATATATATATATATATATATATATATATATATATATATATATATATATATATATAATTCGCTATAATATAATATATATAAAAAGCTTATATTCTGTCCAATCCTGTGGTGCCTTGACATTCATCTAGTATTTGGTAAGTGTTGACTTTACGTTACTTACTGTACTGCCCTGACTTTATTTATTTAAGCGCGGGAAAAAAAATAAACAGATAATAATAAGTTTGTAAATAAAATATACTATACAGTAATTTATTTAATTAATTTTAAGAGCCGTGATAGCTCAGAAGAGCCCTGATAGCTCAGTGTCCGGGCGCTCGCCTTTAATTCAATATACTCGAGCAACCTGAGTTCGATCCCCGGTGCCGGCACCAATGAAGTTTTTAACTTTAAGTGCTGACTTATCACGTGCTCCGCGGTGAAGGAAAACATCGTGAGGAAACCTGAATATTTTCAATAATAACAAAAAAAAAAATATATTTCGAAGATGTGTGAAATCCGCCAAACCGCAGTGGGGCCGTGTGGTGGACTATCCCCTGACAACCTCAGTACAGAGGAGGCCTTTGCCCAGCAGGGACATGTATAGGCTGTTACTTTACTTTTTTTTTACTTTTTTACATATTTAAAAGTAATAAATTCAAAGCATTGTCGTTAATAGCTAAATATAAAAGTTTTGCCTATATTATTATATTCCTTGATCTTTCTCGTCGCGTTAGTATAGTTGTGTCTATCTCTAGGTCTATAATCCATTATGGAGTATGCAGAAGCCGAGGCAGTAAAACGCGTGTATATGATAAAATTTTCAATGAGTTCTGCAATGATCAGGTCTCTGCATATGGCAGCGATGATTGCTCGAAAGAAATACTCATAAATGTTTTAACTCCTATCGAACATTTTATCGATTATACGAGTATTTCTGCCGTTATATTGGACTGGTCTCGGAGCTGTGGAAATTAAAAAAGCTTTGTTGTGCTAATATAGTATAATAAATACGAAATTGTGATTCTTATTATAGAATTTGAGCATTTATCACAGGTGTCAGCAGAAAATCAGCATTGACTCGACTCAAGATCATGCTGGGCAGAAGCCTTAATTATCCAAAGCTGCAATGTGTTTTATGTCCTTTAAAATTGATTTTTTTTTTCGCTAGATGTATATTTCTTATTTGCTGGATTGATTAAACGAGCTACTATTATTAAATGTGACAAAATGGAGCTGTCAACTCACTTCTGCTAGCCAGGAACATCTCGATGGCCACGCTCTGCAGAAGGTAGCGCCGGGAGAAGATTGCGCGGATCTCGCTGAAGTAT